TGATAGTCTACACTCTGTTCAATAGTCCAAGGTCTAAAATCCCTTCTGAGGATCAAGGTAATCTGTTAGCAGAAACTCTATAAGATAAAAACCAAGTTACACACCTCTGATATGGGATGGAGCAAATATTTCCACTCGAAAAGGGAGGAATGGAAGCAGAGAAAGGAAAGAATGATTAATAAATGAATAATGAATGAAACCAAGTAGGGAATAAAAAAACCCTGCGACTCAATCTCCAGCACCTGAGCCTCATGATGGACTCAGTTAGGTTTTGAAACCTTAGAGTAGCCTCAACCCCTGATGTCTGTCCTCCATAGTTTATGTGACTATTGCTTTGACTCAGCTACATCCTATGTATAGAACCTTCTTCAGCAAATGTCCCATAGTACTGGCATTCCAACAGCATGAGGTCTTACTTGCTACATATGGTTCACCTTCTCAGCTTCATGTCATAGTCTCTTACTTCTTTCTTGTGTGGAATTCCATCCTGAGATACATTACTTGGTCTTAAATGTTTTTTGGAGCCTTTGGCAAGCCTCCATGACTCTCTAACTTTGTCCTTTATGCCTACAAGGCTATTAACCATGTAGACAATGCCACCAGGGTCTACTGCAAGATCAAGATAATTTATAGACTTCCTTGGGCCACATATGCTGTGACTTCTGTGTTCTCTTGAGGTTCATCATAAGAAAACTCTTCAAAGGCAAGGCTGTTGGAAATGAAAATTGTTGTTTTCTCCTTTAAAATGAATTTGCATTCTTATAAGTTACAACCTATTATCAATGGGGTTTTGTTATTGTCTCAATGCAGAGCTCCTTGTTTCTAATTTGTGGAGGTAATATCTTTCCCAATTACACTGTTTTAGTACCTTCATCCATCAAGTACAGGCTACATTAGACTTGCTTCTCATCCTTTCCCCATGAAACTGCATGTTTTCCTATAGTTCTGTCCCACTTGTTGTTCTTTCTCACTGCAGACTGGGTAAGAGCAGTGATCAGCAAGCATGCCACACCTAAAACGCTGTCCTGTCTTGACTTTTTCCTCTACTAAACAAATTCATTACTTTTGAATCCAAACTTACTCAAGTTGTCATAACATAAATGCAGTCAGAATTTTTGTCCAAATGAAGCATGAAAGGCCTTCAGTCCAGTTCCTAAAGAGTAGTTATTTCTCATCAGAAATCTTGTGAAATAGTCTTCCATGGCCCACATTCCCTCAGCATTCTAGTTCTCCAAACTCCTACCAGATGCCCCATTAAGCTCTGCTATAGCACTCCAAACTTTTCTAGCTCACATCTCCAAACTCTTAGAAAATCTTCTAGCAAACCAGTTTCAAACCTCAAGAATGTCACATTTAGGTGGATTAGAATGACCCCACTCTTCTGTATGAATTTTCTCTATTGGTTATTTTTCTAGTTGCTGTGACCAAATATCTGACAGGAAGCAATTTGTGGGTGGAAGAGTTTATTTTGACTCAATGTATGAGGTATTACAGTTAACCATGTATGGAGAGTGTTATTGATTATTTTTTACTCTTTTGGGGGGCCTGCCACCCAGCTCCCAAATAAATCACACAGGGAGGCTTTTTCTTACTTATGAATGCTCAGGCTTAGTTTGACTTGGTTCTTTACAGCTTTCTTTAACTTAACAGCCCATCTACCTTTTGCTTCCAGGTTTTTCCCTTTCTCTTACTTCTGTAAATCTTACTTTTACTCCGTGGCTTGCTGTGTAGCTTGGTGGCTGGCCCCTGGAGTCCTCCTCCTTCTCTGGCTACTTCTCCTTCTTTCTCCTCCCAGATTTCTCCTATATATTCTTTTTGACTGCCAGCCTCATCTATTCTTTCTCCTGTCTTGCTATTGGCCATTCAGCTCTTATTAGAGCATCAGTGTTTTAAACAGACATAGTAACGCAGCTTCACAGAGTTAAACAAATGCAACATGAACAAAAATAACACATCTTAGAATAATATTCCACAACAGGAGAGGCACTGGGAAAGGTGGTTTCTGATACAGGAGTGTCTAACTGGGAGACATCCATGCTTCACATTTTGTTGGAACAGAAAACAGAGAGCAATGGGAGGTGGATTCAGGTTGGAAAGCCTCATCACCCCCAAATACTCTGAAGAAATTAACCTCTACCTTGGACAAAGGTCTACCTGCTAGTGAATCCATGTTCTTTCAAAACGATACCTTGAAGTGTTCAAACACATGAGCCAATGGGACTCATTTCATATTTGGATTACAACAGTCATCTTCTATTGCACCCAATTGTTCTGCTTATAAGTTTGTTTTCTTATTGTGTATTTTAAAATTTTTTTTTGTGATTCCACTAGTTTGGCTGGTTGTGTCTGTACTTTTTCCAGTCACGGTCTCGATATCTCTTGCTCATAGAATCCCTCTTCCCTCATCAATTGAACTCCTGCAGCTCTGCCTGGGACCTGGCTATGGATTTCTGCATCTGCTTCCTTCAGTCACTGGTGATCACAGCTAAGGTATTCAGCCATCTGATCACTAGAGTAGGCCAACTCAGGCACCCTCTCGACTATTGCCAGTAGTCTATGGTGGAGTCATCTTTGTGGATTCCTGGGAACCTCCCTAGCACTCCGCTTCTCCCTATTCCCATGGTGTCTTTATTTATCATGGTATCTCTTTCCTTGTTCTCCCACTCTGTTCCCTTTCCAGCTCGAACCTCCTACTCTTCTAAGCTCTCATCCCCTGGCCCTTGCCCTCCATTACCCCCCCTCACTCCCAGTTTGCTCATGTAGATCTCATCCATTTCTCCATTACTGGGCAATTCATGTGCCCTTCCTAGGGTCCTCCTTACTAGCTAGCCTCCCTGGAGCTGTGGGTTGCAGTCTGGTTATCCTCTGCTTTACATCTAGTATCCACTTATGAGTGTGTACATATCATGCTTGTCCTTCTGAGTCTGGGTTAGGTCACTCAGGATGGTATTTTCTAGATCCATCCATTTGCCTGCAAACATCATGTTGTCATTATTTTTCTGTGCTAAGTAGTACTCCATTATATATATGTACCACATTTTCTTTATCCATTCTTCAGTTGAGGGGCATCTAGGTTGTTTCCAGGTTCTGGCTATTACAAATAATGCTGCTATGAACATAGTTGAGCACGTGTCCTTTTGGTATGATTGAGCATTCCTTGTGTATATGCCCAAGAGTGGTATAGCTGGGTCTTGAGGAAGATTGATTCCTAATTTTCTGAGAAACCACCATACTGATTTCCAAAGTGGCTGTACAAGTTTGCATTAGCCCCCAGGGTACTGGACTAGACCCTCTGGGTAAGTGAGACAGTTGTTTAGGTTGAACTGTTTATGGTGCCCCAGGCAGTGGGATCAGGACCTGTTCCCAATGCATGAGCCGGCTTTTGGAACCTAGTGTCTATGGTGAGACACTTTGCACAGCCTTGGTTCAGGGAGGAGGGGCTTGGACCCACCTCAACTGAATGTACCAGGCTCTGCTGATTCCCCATAGAAGACCTTGCCTTGGAGGAGGAAGGAAAAGGGGGTAGGTTGGGGAGGAATGCTGGGGGGCCAGGAGGAGGGAGGATATGGGAATCTGTGGTTGGTATGTAAAATGAATAGAAAATCTCTTAATTAAAATAGGAAGAAAAAAATAAAATAAAATTTATTTGTGAAAATGACAGAATGAGAATCTCTTAGTAATATTTTGAGGTTGACAATTTTCCAAGTTGTCATCAACAAGTTCTCTTGGATTCAGTCTTTCTTAGTTATGGAGAACAAGATTCATTTTTTTTTCTGTTTGTGAGACTATCCTACTGTATTATCCTTGAATTCAAATGGGGTGCTTCTATTTAATGTAAAACTTCTGGCTTTATAACAAGAACAGAGGACATACAATAGGTTAATTCCTATCATGGAGTATTTTTTTGTTTGATGGACTTATTCTGAGCTGTAAGCAATGGTGAATAACAGTGGTGTAGCCAAAAGTTTTTCTGTGTCCTGCCCAGCACTGTGATTACTCAGACCCAAGTAAATATACAGAGGCTTATATTAATTAAATCTCTTCAGCCACTAGCTCAGGCTACCTACTGACTAGTTCTTACACTTAAACTTAGCCCATTTCTGTTAATCTATATGTCAGCACATGTCTATGACTTTACCTGTGTGCTATTACATGCTGCCCCCTGGATGGCAGGCTGGTGTCTCCTCACTCAGCCTTCCCCTTCCCAGAATTCTCCTTGTCTGCTTTTCCTGCCTGGCTACTGGCTTTTTATTAAGCCAGTGTACAAGAGCATTATCCCACAGCACAGTGTTTATCAGATCTGACTTTAAATATACTTGACATATAAGAACTTTGTTAGAATGACAGGTCTCCTGACAGAAAATTCCTTTCTACATTTAAATATAAAATATTATCCCTCATCTTAAAATTCATTTTATGGTAAAAATTGTGCATATTAGTTTAATTAAAACTTGATATACTGTCATTCACAATATATATTATGTTTGATATTTTATGTTGTGTCTTATTAACATTAGTATATTATTTGAAAATTTTATTTTATCGAATTATTGGGGAACAATATTCAGTGTTTTACATAAATTATTTATTTATTTGCAAGTTGTATAAAATATTAAACTTCTACAATATTATAAGTTCTTAAGTGGTCATTAGCTTGAGAATTCATAATTTTGCATAACTTTCCAGTTTTCTATCATTAAATAACTTCATTTTTTCTTTTTCATTTGCAGTTATGTATGAGAAGTACTTTTCACCCAAATTCTTGGTACTCAGCCCATTACAATTAAGCCGCAATCTACAGGATGTGCTGTCTTAAAAATGAGAGCTAAGAGTTAATATTTTACTTTATTCACTATGTAGGAACAAAGTTCACTGGGAGGAGAGTCTTGTCCCTGATTGGTCTGTTCTGCATCAGAGACTCCCAGGTGGATTAGCAAACTTCATTATATAAGCTTTGTGTTGTAAGCACACATTCATGCCAGTAAGAAGAGAAGGCAGCAATGGTTCTAGGTGTGTTTCTGGGCCTTGTTCTCTCATGTCTGCTTCTCCTTTCACTATGGAGGCAGAGCTCTCAGAGAAGAAAGCTTCCTCCTGGACCCACTCCTCTCCCAGTCATTGGAAATATTCTTCAGATAGATCTTAAGAACATCAGCAAGTCACTGAGGGATGTAAGTATATGTTTGGTTTTCTGAGTAGCATTCAAAGGGAAGTAAGTGAACCACTGTTTGAATGAAATATATGGCTGGACTTGCTCTATGTAATACACAATTGTAAATTTGTTCCCAAAGCTTGATGTATCAGCTGCATTTTCACCAAAGCCTTGTCAGAAATCATAGAATGAGGTCATGTGATATGGATAGTTATACATTAGAGGGTGTTTAGTAGAATAAAAATCACAGTGTGGCAGAAGTTGTAAATGTTTTTTCCCCTCCTTAAAACTTTTGGCTGCTGGTTGAAGGTAAAACAAAGGATATAATTAGACAGAGATTTCCTTCACATGTTTTAGCCATGCATTGTATGTAGAGTTGGTAAACAAATAGAACTTTTGTGAAGAATTTAACATCTGTTCAATGTCCAGAAAAGTCATGGGTCTGAACAATGTAAGAAATGATGGGAACAAGTAGTGCCAGGGCCTAGTAGTTCCTATTAGAATTCTTTTGAGTCTGACCACACCCATTTTCTGAGGATAAGAATGTTGCATGATGTCAAAACTTATTTCTAGAAAATGATGCCCCTTTAAGAGAGCTTTTCTTTGTAATGTCTCAAATATTATTTGCCTTAATATTCTTCCCAGGGGCCCAGAAGAGAGGCTATGAATGGTACAAATTATTTTCTGGAAATGAATCTAAGTACACCAAGCTCTTAGTCTGTCTACTTTATTCCTCTGGGATAAAATTCTGTCTACACAGCTACAGTTCTGTTCTCATGCCTAGCTCCTTTCTTGCCTGATTTCTCTCTACATTTATCTGCTGTTCCCTCTATGTTCTATCTTAAATCTCTCATTGTAGTTCTGCCCCATCTTGGTCTTTGTCATCTCCTTCTTCTTCATCTGGCTCTTACTCATCTTCCATCTCATTCTTCTAGTTCTCCATCTAGGTGTCCAGTCAAAATCCTTTTAATCCACTCTCAGTCTGAGGTTTACTGTTATATACCCATGTAATAGCAGTGCTCTAGCTAAAGCAAGGTCAGCAGGCTTGAATTCTTACAGGGTCATAAAGGCAGACAAGTGTTTTCCTCAGCTAGTGATTATCAGGCTTTCTTTTATAACCCAAAAGGGGAATAATAAAGGAGGAGGTCAACTAAGAGCTAAAATCATTTACTATATCAGAAAAAGGAAATTTATGTGTTCAAACTATAATACTGGTGGTTGTGGTGATAATTTGTTCCCCCAAATATTGTGAACCCTAATAAACTTATCTGGGGTCAGAGAACAGAACAGCCACCAGACATAGAGGCCAGAAAATGGTGGCACACACGCCTTTAATCCTAGCATTCTGGAGGCACAGATCCATTCAGATCTCTGTGAGTTCAAAGCCACACTAGAAACAGTCAGGCATGGTGACTCACGCCTTTAATCCCAGGAAGTGATGGCAGGAAGCAGAAAGGTACATAAGGCATGAGGTCCAGGAACTAGAGGTTAAGCTTTTAGGCTTTTAGCAGCAGTTCAGCTGAGATCCATTCAGATGAGCACCCAGAGGCTTCCAGTCTGAGGAAACAGGATCAGCTGAGGAATTGGCGAGGTGAGGTTAGCTGTGGCTGGTTCTGTTTCTCTGATCTTTCAGGGTTAACCCCAATACTTGGCCTGGGTTTGTTTTTATTAACAAGACCTTCTAACAATTTGTGTTACAAGGGGTGGTTAGGAAAAAGTTAGGAGTCTATAATGTTAGTATAAATACCACTAAGGTTGTATAAGAAAGGAAGATCTGAGTTCAATTTACCTTAATTCAGGAGATCGTTTGGCCTTGGATGCTTGATAGGCATTTCAGATAAAATTCACTGTTATGAGTTCTTGGAAGCATACATAGCATACAAGGAAATCATTGCAGGATTTGGCTAATATATATACAAAAGCTAAAATATCACCAAGACTTCTTAAGTCATGACTTGACCTTTGGAAAAGTCTTTGACTTTTCCAAGTAGTTGCTTTTGTGATAGTAGGTGAATTCTATTACATTTTCCTGCTGCTTATAGCAGTAATGCTTGCAGAGAGCAAAGCAGCCTGGGTGATGAACACATCTTAACATCACTTGAAAATACAGAATATTCTAGCCAATGCTGGAAGGTCTGATTCAGGACCTCTATGAAGAGAACTTGCAGATTATGCTGAAGCAGCCACCTGGGTATTAATTTCAAGGTGAGCATCAGCAGATGGTAAATTAATTGCTCAAGTATGAAACATGGACTAGACATGTGTTTGACTTTGTGATTTCTGCAATTTGATATTTGGGACACTGGAAGATAAATTGTGATATTTCTGCTCTTTTTATTTTAATATAGAATGATAGTAAATGCTAAATATGTAGATTTAATAGTTAACTGAAACTTGTTTACCAACTAGGTTGGCAATTGTAGGCCATTCATAAGTGAAAGTTATTACTATTTCTTTAATACTTATGTATAAAATTAAAATATTGATGCAACATGTGGTAGAAAATACAAAATTATTATGATAATATCTGTAATAATTGAGCATATTTCTGGGTGGTGGTGGCACATGCTTTTAATCCCAGTACTTGGGAAGTAGAGGCAGGTGGATCTCGGAGTTTGAGACCATCTTGGTCGACAGATTGAGTTCCATGATGGCCAGGGCTACACAAAGAAACCGTGTCTCAAAAACAAAACAAACAATAATTGAACATATTGCATAGAAAAGACACTCAGCTTTCTCCTTCTCTCATCTGAAGAAGAAGTTGCATTTAATTTTCCCTTAGGATTTAAATTACTTTCTATCTACATAGGACATTATAACATTTGTATTCTTATTTAAGGAAAATATGGGTTTACATTATACAAGATACCAGAATTACTGATCATATGTTTCTTTTTTTAAACTTGTTCTTCTCTCATACAAATTCCCCTCCCTTCCCTTCTTCCAGTTTCTTCCCACCTGTCCTCTCCCCCAGATCCACTTCCTGTTCATTTGTGTTCAGATAAAAGAAGGCCTCCAGGAGACAACAACCAAACAGGTCAAAACAAAATACAATAAAACAAGGCAAAAGCTCTGATATTCAGGCCTGACAAGGCAACTCGATAGGAAGAAAAGAGTCCGAATAGCAGGCAAAAGAGTCAGAGACACACTGGCTACTACTGTTAGGAGTCCCACAGCACCACCCAGCTAACAGCCATATACACAGAAGACCTGGCGCAGATCCATGTAGTCCATGTGCTGCAGCAAGTCTTTCTCTGTACCACCAGTCCCCAAATCATAAAACAGAGATTTATTAATAATTATGAAAGCTCAGCCCCTGTTTAGGCCTGTTTCTAACTAACTTGTATAACATATATTAAACCAATTCCTATTAATCTATGTGCTTCTACATGCCTCAGCATGGCTTGTAATAAGTCATGAGGACTCTGTGGCCAACAAGATTTATAATGTGTCATCCAGTCTCAGATCTCTTCCCATGAAGAGGGAAAACATATATGCCACCTGTTTTGTCATCTTTCTTTTTTTTTCATGGCTGTGGTCAAGATTTTCAAGAGGTCTCCCTCAGTCAAATCTGATCTTCATTAGTTTTGAAGAAAACCATAACTTTTTGTTTCCCATGGAAGCAAAGGCATAGCCTTTTCCACAATACCAACATATTCTTTGACTTCCATTCTGAAGTGAAGACATTCCTAAAATATATAGATTGGTTTAATTTAGCAGTTGTTTCTACTATCCAATGTCTATCCACAGTTGTTGTTACTTTCTGATTATCATTAAAAAATTTAAAGGTAATAAAGCATTATGCAATTTATCTCTGGGGGGTCTGGGGGGCATTTACCCAACCACCCCCACAGTTCCCCAGAGTTTTCTTGAGTGCGAGCAGCAGGAAATACTAGGTAGAAGGACTTATTGCAGAGAATATCGAGGAGATAAACAGATAGAAAATAAAGGATAGCCTCGAGAGGGCCTGGAACCTATTCCAACAGGCCCCGACTGTCTCTGCCCCAGGGTTTTTATAGAGACGCCAGGGGGTGGAGCAAAAGACGTCCTCCCCCAGCACAGCCAAGTGCAGACCATCTCAGACACCTGCACTCAGGCCTGTGGTCCTAATCATCCTCTATGTGGACCTGCTGGGTAAAGCCACAAGGAACCCGAGAACGGGCTCCCACAGGGGTCTTTATCACACCTTTTTGTTTACTAAGCATAACTTTCTACAGCTGATTGTTCTGTATGATTGTGTGGTATACCTGTAATATATTTTATTTTATAGTATGCAAAACCTGTTTCACTTCACTAGGGACATAAGCTGGAGCATTGTCAGTCTTAATTTGTACAGGTATTCAATAGCTATAACTTCAAGTAAAGGTGTGATTACACAGTCATCCTTTTCAGAACTCAAAGCAGTTGCTCAGTGAAATCCTGAATATGTATCTATGGTATGGCGCACATACTTAGTTTTCTAAACTCCCCAAAATGAAACCCATCCACTTGCCAAATTTCACTTCTTTGAAATTTGGATTACTTCCTGCAGGTAGCAGAGTTTGGTTATAAAAGGAATAAGTAGGACATTTCTTTATAATTTCCTTGGCTTGTTGCCAAGTGATAGAAACATCTTTCTTTAAACCCTTACTATTAACATCATAAAGGAGATGAAGTGGGTTGGTTACAGTGTTTGAGATCTTCCACCAATTTCTGGAGAGATTTGACATGGGTCTCCATCAGGCAAGACTTGATGTAGTAGTAACACTCTTCCCCCAGGAACATGCAGGTGCCTCCTCTGTCTGCTGTGAGGAGGTTCAGTGCTTTGCAATTTTGCAATATGACCTGAGCCACTGAAATGATTTAGCACTGGAGAGAGGCCAAGGACTCTACCAAGTCCTCGATGCCCTTCTGGGGTTGTTCAGATAATTTTGTAGTTACAGTAACTGAGTGTGCTATGGCACCTGTGCCTAAGCCAGATGCCATCAGAGCTGAGGACAATGAGATGCCCATTGTTGCTGGAAGAAAGACTGCACCATGTGTCTAGCCCAAGTC